CTGCTGAGATCGATCTCACATTCTGTTTAGGGGGACTGCAGCTGCTCCTGTGGGGAGCAGTTACACAAAATACTAACCATAAAATCAAATTAATTCTTAAAAAAAATTAGATTACATTATAAATACTTTTAAATCTCAATGTAAACATCCTCAATGCTCAGATTTTTTTTTTGTAAGTCATTGATATCAGTGCTTGTGCCCTTGATCCTGGCTCAAATAGCTTTCTGTGAAGTACTATTTATGCGTATTGTGTTCAAGATGTCGTACATATACAAGAATTTTGAGGGAACAATGTGAAGGTTGGGCTAGATCATGTACTGATGGAAACCTGTGATCCACTGAATTTGGTGACAAACATGGCATCAGCAAAGTTTGACACTTGCTCATTTTTCACTGAAGTCCACAAATTTCTCACTGATTCTTCCCTTAGATGACTCCAAACCATTGAATACTAAATCACACCAAGAGCTGCACATCTCTGTGGGACCAAGGGATGGGATCTAAACCCTGCCTACTGATTCAGTGTCACATTTGCCTAATAGGTGTAGCAGATAAATCATAAATTCACAGTGCTTCATAAATACAACATGATAGTGTCTTTTGGCCCCATACAACTGTACTGAAGATGTAGCAACACCATTTCAGCAAAGGTTGCTGTAAAAACCTGAGGTCTCAAGAGCTGGAAAAAAAGTGTAAGGTGCTGAATGTGTAAGATGGCTCCCCTGCAGCTTACCAATTAATTTCGGAAAGGATGTAGATGTTTAGAAGCGTCCACCAAATGTACTTCACTAAAATATTCCTCCAGCTAAAACGAGAAGGCCAGTAAGCCAGGGCCACAACAGAATTAAAAATATTTTGTTTGAAACATCAGTCTGAATTGAAACATCAGGATAAAATCCTGACTGAGTGAGGTAGCAGAAACAACATACCTGTTTGTCAGCGGCCCTATGAAGGGGTTAGTGATCAGCTGCACTGTTGCTTTGGAAGCAAACAACAGACCGACTTGAACATTCTCATTCAGCAGGTCCTTATCTTCCTTAGGGCAGTCGGATGGGGAAGGAGTCACATTTACTATCATTTGTTCTGTCTGAGTATGATGCAAGTCTCCGGGTTGTGCCTTATCAGATTCATTTCCAGTAACTATTGTTGAGTTGTCATAGTAGGAGAAGATGCTCTGAAAATTGTCCGTCATTGTTGAGACTACGTTAGGCTTAGGAGTCTGGATTTCTGTGGCATTTTTCTCATGTCTCATGCTGTAAAGGTAACTGGGAATTATTGGCACTGGAAAAACAAATAGAATATATTGGCATCTTACTTTCAGGTTATTTGTAAATGGAATCACCAAATTTTCTTGTACGCTTTGCCATTGATAAGGAAATTGAAAGTTTTCCTACAGAGCACATTAATAAGAACTGAAATAGTAACTTGCTCATGGGAAAAAACACACACCTGTAACTCAGAAGTGGAGCTTAAAACAAAAAGTTTTTTTACATTTGTCTCTTTTTTTTCCAGTTTTCATAAATGAAAGGTTTTCTATACAGGCATCATTCAGAAAGCAAAATACAAGAAGCATTAAAACCCATGTCTGAAGAGTCTCTTTGTTGCACATGACTGTACAAACCCATTTATTAGATTGTGAAAACATAAAAGGTGAAAAGAGGATCAAAACTATTAATAAATGAAAATATTAAAAGGTAATAAAACACATTGCTAAAATAAACCACAAAAATATTAGTAAGCAACAGCCATAAGAAGGAAAAAACCATCACACTCCTAAAGTCATCAGAACTTGTGTGTTCATGTTTGCATCTCATTAATTTTTTTTTTAAAGTACAAAGAAAGGATCATCCAGAAAAGACCTTCTTTATATGCTTTAGGATCTTAGCTGCAATTTAATTGCACGAATATGTATCCCAGAAATAAACATTTCAGAATTTGTAAAAACAAATGTCAGGTTCATTCCGTTTAACACTAGTGACAGAATCAGCCCTCCTGGTCCTCCATCTCTTCCTGAAAATACCCACTCTTTCAACAGGTCTCCAATCTTCAATTTCTAATGCTTCTAGCATGCTTATTACCAAATAAGTAGTTAAATGTTAATAACTTCATAAAAAAGGATATTCATGTAGAAAAAAAAATCCAAAATCAACTCTCTAAAAAACTTATATGTTTTTAGCTAAGGTCTGGATCATGGCATCAACTCTTAAGGTCAAGTCCCCCAAGAAATTCAGGAGTCTGATTCAGAAGCTGACACTGCAACATCACCCAAGAGCCAGCTCTGCACAGCCTGAGAGAAGCATGTGCATTCATCCGTGTATATGCACATCCATAAACCACTAGCTTCTCCTGAATCCTTAAAAAATAATATTTTAAAATATGAACAATTGAATATGAGGACTTCTAAAACTACCACAGTAAAATATTCAAGTGTTTTCTGTGAGTAGATTCATAAATCTTTGCCACTAAATTCCTAAATCTAAACATTATGCCACCGAAGTCAGTAAAAGTTGCACCTGCAACTTTGATCAAAACTTGTATTAATTTACTGAACTAATGGAAGGGCTTTTCTTAAAACCCAGCTAGATAGTTTTCTTATTAATCTATCATTTTCAGACCAATGTGGAGGAAAGAGGAGCTATCTCAAGGAAACAGGCATCTCCAATGTTATCTAGCCTGTTGTTTCAGTTGCTTGACCACAGGAGAAAAAGCAACGATGAGCTAAAAATACAGTTATCTGTCCCTCTATGAAGTATTCGTGGTGTTTAGTAGGAAAAGAGACTTATGAAGACCTTTTCTACACAGTCCTTTACCCTGCAGTTAACACAGAAATGAGGCGAGACCTCCATGTGCCCGGCAGCGCGTTTGTAGTACCCAGAGTGTCATCCCTGTTCCAAACCAAAAATAAATCAGTGCTTGAAAACGTCTGGTTTGCGAGCATTAATCAGGCGTTCGGGGAGCACATCTGTCACCGGAGATTAGTTCTGGCACAAACCGGCAGGGGAAAAAAATAAACCAAACCCCGTTCTACCTACCGACGACCGTGAGCAGCATGTTGTCCAGCAGCAAAGCGATGAACACGATCAGCAGGATGAGTTTCCTGGACTGCCGGCTCTCCCGGAGCCACCGCAGGAGGTTGAACTCGCCCCAAGCCATGGTCCCTTGTCCCCGCAGCGCTGCACAGAGACAAAGGCCGTCAGGGGCTGCGGGGACACCGGGGGGCAGCTCCGACACAGGAGACCT